ACTCCCCCCTGGATGGGTTGCTCTAGCCACCCCAGCTCTTCCCTACCCCGGCTGCACTCCCCTTCTCCAAGCCCCTGCAGAGGCCAGGGTGGGTGGCCCCTCTACCCCTCACACACCCCACAGGGGGAATCTGCCTCCACAGCAAGCCCCCCCATGCCTGCCCGGGCACCCCACTGCCCTGTGCCGGCCGCCTACCTCCTCCCTCAGCCCCTCTCTCCTCACAATGGGAACAGGGTCACATCCAACCCAAGGACCTTCGAAGGCTGCCCAGGGATTGAGTGACAAAGTCACGTTACCACAGCCGCAAAACCTCCACTTGACCCTGTCCTGTCCCCGTCCTCTGCCATGCCAGGCTACCCTGCTCACAATCTGATCAGGGGGGCTCAGGTCTCCCCACGTCGCAGTCCATCGCCCCAGCTCCCCCTCCACACAGCCATCTGACCTCCTAGCCCCACGAGGCTCGGTCTGAGAGCTGCTGCCCCCAACGTCCCACAGCAGCCCCAGCCTAGGGCAGGGCCTCCACCGAGGGCGAGTCGGGGTCCATCCCCGCCTAGGCAGGCAGCACCAGGCTCCAGGGCCGGTGGCCAGAAGCCGGATTAGCTAGTGGCTGCAGGATGGCAGGATACCTCCCTTTCACCCTGCCTCCCTCGAAGGTGCCCGATGCCACACAGGCAGGAGATCCACCTGCAGCGCCCCGCCCCTCTCGTGCCCCTGCTGAAGCTAGGCCAGTCTCCCAGGGCCGGCACCAGCCTTCCACACCACCTTCCTGCCTGCTCCCGTGGCCTCTGCGAGGCTACCTGGGCACACGCTGCCGAGCGCAGGCCTGGGGCTCCCTGTCCCACGCTCAGGCCGTCTGCCCAGCGTGTTGTGTTGCGAGGCCCCGCGGCTTCCCCTGAGCCGTCTGTGCCAGCTCCCTCACCTGCAGCCTCCTGGATGAAGGCAGAGTTGCGCTTGAGGATGAAGAGGAAGGACGGGGAGCCGTGGCTGCACAGGTAGAGCAGGATCTTCAGCACCTGGGGAGGCGCAGTGACGCGGGCTGTGCAGGGCCCCAGCCACACCACCCTGCTGCATGTCCCTCCCCGCTGGCACCACTGTCCTGAGCAGGAGCTCAGGCCTGGCCCGTCCCCGCTCGGGACTGACCTTGAGCTTCACACGGCCAGAGCTGCTGCACAGGCGGCTGAGCAGGTACTCCAGCAGGCACTGGCTGCTGCCCAGCGACTCGTGGGAGATTTCTGGGATGGCTCGGTTAGGGAAGGAGCAGGCTGACACGACTGCCGCAGGCCGCGCTGGCCAGAGGGAACTGGCCTGCCCACCACCGCCGCAGGCACCACCTGTGCGCCTGGTTTTGGGAGCGGTGGGGCTTCCAGGTTCTCCTGGAGCCCCGAGTCCGCTGCGTCACAGCCTTCAGGTTCTCATACCAGGTTACTACGGTAAGGGAGACGTGATCCCCTTGGGACAGGACTCCAGTGGCCCTCCTGCCGCACCAGGGCACCTGCCTTTGCCCCCATTCCACCCTGCTGGGGAACTTGAGAAAGGATACTAGCGACCTCTTCAAACAGGTAGCCCGGGCACGGGACGTCGTCATCTGACGTGCCCTTCAGGAGAATCGGGAGCTGGAAAAGAACAGTCCCTGTCTGTGAGTCAGTCTCATCCACGGGAGCCACAGCCACCAAAGTGGATGGAAATGGCACAGCCCTCACTGATGACATGCTGGGGGGGGGGCAGGACAGGAGGGCTGGGGACCATCACACTGGATCCCCTTCCCTTGGCAGGCTAGGCATGAGCAGCCACAGAAGAGGCAAATCCACAGGTGTGCTCTCCACATAGGGTCACGACATGTAGACACAGAAGGATGTGCCTTTGACATGGCTAATTACTGACCCAGCAAAACAAAATGTGTAGGGACAAGCCCTCCTCCACAAGGGGACCCTGGGTCCAGCCCAGACCAAGTCATTGCAGGGCTGTGCGGCACCACGAGCGGGGAGACCACGGAGCCGGGAGGCCACGGAGCCGGGAGACAGCGAGCGGCCGACCAGCCCCGGTGCTCTTACACCCACGCACTCCTTAACTAACTCCCCGCGCAAAGACGCGAGGCTCGTGGGGCGGGCAGTACTCTAGGGTCTCCCGCTACCCTCCCTGTCCCGCAAGCCCTGAGAGGGCTGGGCTGCGTGGTGGCGGCCGAGAACCCCTGTCCTGAGAATGACAAGCCTCCAGAGACCCGGTAGCTTAAGGCCGTCGGGGACCCAGACCCTGCGGGCTCCATCCCGGAGAACCCTTGCCCGCTGGGCCCGCACCTGCCACAGCACTGGCCTCCCACCTCGGAGCACTGATAAGGGGTCACGCTGCGTCCTGCCCTGGCCCTGCCCGCACCCACGGCGTCTGTCCAGGACCTGAGGGTCGGGTCTCGGGCCCTGGTGTCGGGGCAAGAGAGCTGCCGGCGCGGGCCGCCGGGTCCTCGAGGAGACCGGCTGGGGCGTCCTCCGTGGCGAGTCACTGAGTCACTCGGTCTCCACCGACCTGACAGTAGCGAAGGTTGGCAGGGCGGGCCGGGGCAGGCGAGGCGGAGCCCGAAGCGACCCGAAGTCGATGCCGGGGCAGGGCGCCCTCACTCACCCGGTGTAGGAAGCTCAGGCGATCCCGCAGAGGTGGCGCGGCAGCCATGGTCCGGGTCAACTCCCAGCCTGCCCCGCTTCCGTAGGGCCTTCCAATCACCACGCGGGTCTGAATCTTCTGGCCAATCGCTCGTGGTGGGGCGGGCCCTGAGGTCAGTTTCGTGAACAATTTTAGCCTGAACCAATCCAAAGTCTCGGCCGGAGACAGACAAAGACAACAGCCAATTGTAGGGGCTCGAGGCCGGGCAAAGCCCG